AACATCCATGTCCAAATGAATGAGTGTCCCTGCTCCAGCCAGGGCCCCTCGGGCAGTGTGTGCAGAACACTCAAACGTGGCACAGACACAAGAGCAGCGATTGTTCCTTACCCATGTATGGCTTTGTTCCAGCCAGGGCAGTCGCTCTTTCACCGTCCCTAATGATTGTTGCAATATTAAAATCTGTTAAATGGGCATGACCTTAAATAAAGACACATTTTAAGAGGGAATTAATGGCAGTGCAGTGGCAATGCAGAGTCAGAACACATTTGTCTCTCAAGCTCCTGCCCTYGGACAGGGGAGCACAGACATGGGCAGGGCAGGGGCAGATCCCACTCAATGGCCAGAAGAGATCCCAAAGGTTTCCCAGGATTTGGGCTGGCAGCAGATTAAAGGGTAGGGAGTTTTGGGTTTGATTTTAAATCACATTTGGAGCTAACATTTGGCCAAATTGCTCTGGCCAGGAGCTGCAGGAGTGAAGAMAACAGGGAAACMCCATCAYAGAAGCASAGAATGKTTTGGTTGGGAAGGGACCCAAAGATCATTCCCATTCCGTGGACAGGGACACTTTGCACCAGCCCAGGGTGTTCCAAGGCATTGAACTGCAATGTTCCAGACTCCAGGGCTGAGGCAGGGCCACCACCCCGTGCTGAGCACAGCCCCCTGAGTGACCCTCCCCAGCCCCACAAAGCACAGGCAGCTTCACCAAACATCAGCCAGCTGAGGGACAGCAGCTTTCCCCACACTCTGCCCAGGTAAAAGGATGCCCAGTACTCAGGACTGGGAAAAACCTCCCTGGAGTGAAGGAGGGAGCAAACAAAGAGGAGCAGAGTGACCCTACCTTGCTCATCAAGAAGGATGTTGTCTGGTTTTACATCTCTGGGAAAAGAAGAAGATTACAGCAGATGGAATCTCAGACCAGGGATGAGACTCAATGACAAAAATCCTGCAACTTTTTATCTATCAAAAATTAGGAACAAATAAAACAAAAATACTCTACCATGAGCCAAGTCCCATTATGATGGATTAGAAATACGCTTTTCCTAAGCAACTTACTGAAAAAAATGTGAGCACTAGATTTGTTCAGGGATCATTCCCAAGGGAAATGAATAACACAATGCTGGGGATATTTGTGTGAAATCCTGGATGGCTTTGACACCCACCCTGGAAGGTTCAGCCCCTCAGTGAAGCACAGAGAAATGGGGGGCAGGAGCAGCACAGACAGCACACCCACCCCAAAACCAGCAGTAGAGCCCACAGTTACCTGTGGATGATGTGCTGACCCCGCAGGTAGTCCAGAGCCAGAGCCATCTCACAGATGTACAGTTTGACCGTTTCCTCAGTAAATTGAACGTTCTGCTGCAGGTGGTAGCGAAGGTCTCCCCCCAGGAGCAGATCCACCACCATGAACATGTCCTCCTCGTCCTGGAAGGAATACCTGCAGGGCCAGGGAGCAGCTGAGCTCTGGGGCTCACAGCCCAGCCAGGCTTTCCCCTCTCTGAATTAACAGCTCCTGACAGAGCTGCAAATGGTTCTGCACAGAATCCATCAGTCCAAGCACTCCTCAGCACTGCCAGGGCCACCACTGCCCCATGTCCCCAAGTGCCACCTCCACGGGGTGTGAATCCCTGCAGGGATGGGGACTCAGCCCTGTCTGGGCAGCTGGGACAGGCTGGACAGCCCTTTGGCATTGGAAACTTTCCCCAATACCCAACCAAACCCCCCTGTCCCATCTGAGGCCGTTCCCTCTCCTCCTGTCCCTGTTCCTGGGATCAGATCCCAAATCCCACCGGCTGTCCCCTCCTGTCAGGAGTTGTGCAGAGCCACAAGGTCCCAAATGATCCCCCATTTGCTCCAGGCTGAGCCCCTTCCCAGCTCCCTCAGAGGTTCCAGACCCTTCCCCAGGTCCATTCCCATCCCTGGACACGCTCCAGACCCTCAAATCCTTGCAGTGATGGGCACAAAATGAACGTGCAGCTTTGGTCCTGCACCTTCCCCATCAATCAAGTCCAGCTCAAGATGCTGGTTATTTTTTTTAAATCAATTCCTACGCTATGCAATGCTTCCCAGGAGGAGGTGACTGTCCCAGCTGATGTCCCCTGCTCACCCTGTCACTGTCCCCAAAAGCAGTGCCACGTCACCCCCAGGGCAGAGCTCAGGCTCTGTCAGCCAGACACGTCAGAAAAACTTCACATTTTCAATCGCAAACAATCTCCAAAACCTACTTAAAATACCTCTGCCAATCCTGAAGATGAATTGGAAAACACAATTGCTAATTTAACCAGATAAACCAGAAAAAGAGATTTGTATTTACTGTGGAGTAAACCGCCTCTGTAAATGTGCCGTGGGTCCCACGGGAGACTGACAGCACTGGGGATACACCAAAACAACACTCTTTGTTATATTTGGAGACCGCAGCTCCAAGGAAAGAGTATGTGGGATTGTATAATCCTTATGAATCACTCACTTCTGCTCCCATCTCAAATGTAGGTTTATTCTAAAACTAGGAGTTGAACATAGGGTTTGCTATGAGAAAAAGTCCTCTCAAGAATTTCATTACTTGTTGGAAAAAACATTTGCAATTGATAGAAAACTGAAAAAAAATCAACTTTAACTCAAATGGCTATTCTGGAGCAATGGATCAACAAAACAAATGTGATATATCACCCATTTCCATATCTTTGGGGGTAAAACTTTCTCAATTTTTGGAAATGCTCCCCACACAGTGTGGCACACACCCAGCACTGCTGGGATGGGAGGGGACCTCTCACGGGGCAGAAGGATGAGAAAGGACAGATCAAATGGAGCAGCAGAGGGTCCTGAGGCTGCCAAGGGCTCACCCCAAACTAAMCAACCACCCAGGAGATAATGCTCTRCTTTCTAAAACCTGTAAATTAGCTTTTCCTGCAAAATTTGACACTGATGTGTCTGAGCTCCAAAGGAATGTGCTTTATTTGGCCAGTGAACACGGTACAAAGCACACTGAGGCATTCTGGGGGGCTGATGTGGCTGTGGGCAGATTAGACAGACTGCACATCCTTTGGTACTGAACTGCCCACAAAGGATGTGTTTCACAAACATTGCAAACTCAGGCTAGTTCTTAGATTACAGGCTGATTTCAGGAGAGTTTTTTTAAAATTAGACCCTAAAGCATTACTCAGCAATGAGGATATTTCTGCCAGTGCACACACGGTGAAGTCATTACTGTGCAAATTGAGATGTCCCTGTTTGTGTGATCTGCTGCTGCTGAGGAGGTTCTGGAGCCCCTAAACCATCGGGGTTGTGTCTGTGATTGCACTGGGGGCTGGCAGCCCTGCAGCACAGGGAGGAGGAGCTGCTCACCAGAGGTTCACCAGGAACACGTGCTCGATCTCCTGCAGGATCTCCAGCTCCCTGAAGACGTTTCTCACCTCGTCCCTCTCGATGCACTGCTGYTTGTTCATGTAYTTCATGGCRTACATCTTCTCCGTGTCTCTCTTCTGCACGATGCACACCTGCGTGGGGAGAGGAGAGAGTCAGGAACACGTTCCACATCCTCATTGCTGTTTTAGGGGTTGAGATCCTCTCTCTCAGCACCTCAGACATCCCTGATCCCTGGCTGTGATTTGGGGKTTGTGGAGAGCAGCTCCCTGCTCCCAGCACTGTCTGATTTGGGAGTGCACGGCTTTGCTCCAGCCCCACCGGCCATCGGTACCCACAGCTCCTCCAGGAACCATGGCCAGCCCCAAAAAGGGACAGCTTTCCCAAAAACTGCATTGGGAGCTGCGGGAGAGACCTTTGGGCTCTGGATGGAACCGGCATCAGGGAATCACTGAGCTCCCTGAAGCATCACCTCCCCTCCTCTCACCTCCTGCTGCCCACGGTGCCACACAGGGTCACTGTGCCACACACCTCACTGCACCCTGGAACAGCAAATAACCCCCTTTGCCTTAGCAGAGAGAGACTGAAATGCAAATTTGTTACTGATGCCTTAGGATTTTTAGTTTCTCTATTTTCATGCATCTGTATTCTTGTACTTCCCTAGTACAGCACTAAAAACTCCCGTTCTCTCATCTGTAGACAAAATAATCCCTCTCTGAGCTGAACCCAAGGACACCTCACTGCCCGAGAGCCCCAAAATATGGAAACAACAGCGAGTTGGGGGGGAGCAAATTTGGGGTGGGTGACATCATCACCTGTAAAGATCATTGGACAATTAACACCCAATATGTTAATAAGGCAAAACCTATAAAAGGTGAAGATCTCGTGACCCGATGTCCATTTTGGGTGCAGCCTCAGGAGGAGGCTTTGTCTGCCCCAATGTACCAGTAGCCCTGTTAGGCCTGGATTAAAGTTGTGTATTCTCATTCTCTTAAGTTCGTCTGGCCTCTCTTTCAGATCAGCCTGATTGATAAGGCATCATTACAACAACAGCAAACACCGGGCCCAGAGGGACACCCTGTGACTGTCCCCGACCCACAGCACGGCCCTGGGTGCCTCCCTTGGCTCCTCTAATGACACCTTAATTACCCAGGTGACTGTCAGTGAGCTAATTAGCCATCACATTAASTATTTTCACATGAACTGATGGCATGTCTTCATCTGCTCTAATGATGTCTGTGCTGTTTTAATTAGCAGACTGCTGGTGATTAGGATGAGCTGGGTGCACTCCTTTGGGCAGTGGGGTCAGGACAGAGCTCACCCCACAAGGAAAGGGAATTTCTGTGCGTGAAGAAAAAGGAAACCACAGAGGGTGGGAGCTGCCAACACTCTGCTCCTCTGAACACTGCCATTAATAACCATTAATAACCATTAATAACCTGTGCTGATGGTGCTCAGATAATATCATCATGGACACTCAGGATATCATCAGGGACACTCAGGATAATAAATATCATCAGGGACATGCTGAAGCAAGGAGGTGACAAAATAACGGGTGGTTATCATTAGCCTGATAAACCTCCCAATTAGGATGTGCAGGAATTTCCCCATTATTTTGCTGTAGTGGTTCCCATTACAGTGAGAGCTGAGAATCAGACGGTGCAGGAACACTGTGCACCCCTCAGACCCCGAGCTAAGGGAACTTTGTGGGCACCAGGATGCCCAAACAAACATGGATTTGTTTCCCTGGGTCTGGACCCCTCCAGTGCCTGTGGGCGAGCAAAGCCCCTCAATTCCAGCTGCAGGGACTGTTCCAGGTACAAAACACAAGGAAAAGCCTCTTTCATGCTAACTTARTAATAATAATAATAATAAACAGCCTAGCACAGCACACACCACCAGCAGGATCCAGCCCCTGCCTACAGCAAGCTGAATTGGTTGTACATTCAATAAACCAGGCAAAAATAACTTTATATATTATAAATTCTTTGAGCAGTAAAGCCCCAACAATTTGCCTTTAAAACATGGTCATTGCTGTGGAACTGAAAACAAATCCCTGGGTAAGAGCCATSCAGGCACTGAGCAACATTCCCTCCTGATGTCAGCTTATCCCACATTGTGGCTGGAAGCTCATGAATTAGGAACAGTCCTAAGGTCCCTGTTTACAGAAATGCATCAACGTGTGTCCCACCAAAATGCCACCGACACGATGTGTATCCTTCTCTTTCTGTGCTTCTCCATTCATCCATCTGTTCCCGGGGAAGAAATAAGCATCTATTTGGTCACAAGTCAAGAGTGCATTTTTTTTTTAAAATTAATCCTTTTTCAGGCAAGTCTACAAGGCCGAGCAAGGCAAGGAGCAGAAATGACTGTGTCCTCATTGTGCACAATGCAGCCACACAAAGGGAATGTTTGGTGGTTAAACACAGCCATGAGGAAACAGGAGAGGAACAGAAACAGCCCTGCGAGGCAGAGGGAGCAGATTGCTCCAGACACAGCACAGAAAAGCTTTCACAGAGCCCCAGACACCCCGACATTCCCATGCCAAAGGGGCAGCCAGGAGAGGGGCAGGTACCAAACCCCTCCCGAGCCTTCCTCACCACCACAGTGACAACAACACCCGTGCTGTCCCCTGAGCTGGCAGCTCACCCCATCCATGATTTCCCAGCCTGGCACACTTTCTCAAGAGGCTTTGCCTCTTCTTTAGCAATCCAGTCACTTTTTTCCTGCTGATTCTGAAGGAATTCACTGGGCTGAAATCCACACTCAGATGAGAGGTCACCTGCTCATTTACCAGCATGTCCTGGCTTATCCCAGCCTTGTTCTACAGGGGCAGCACGGTTTTCCTGGGCTCAGCCAAAAGCCAGAGGTTTTTATTCTGGCAGGATCCATGGAGCTGGTGGACAGTGGAGATCACTCTGTCTCGGCTGAGCAAAGATATTTTTTCCTTCTGCACATGCAGAGGTCACCCAAAGGGAAGGCACCCGTGACCCTGTGGGGACGTCACCGTCACGGCTGCTGCACAAACCCACAGCTGACTCAGGGATCTCTCGCCTCTCAACTGGCAGCACTGGGTTTCCTTCTTGAATTTCTCCTTCTTTGGCTTCTGCCTTTGTAAGACGAGCCCAATGCCCTGAAATCCTTCCCACACAGACACTCTGTTGACTTCACCTCACAGCCACTGGGACATTTTGGTGTCCAAGCCTGGAATTCACTCATTTTGTTTCCAGAGCAGAGTCAAGGCTTCGAGTCAGCCAACACCACACATCCACATCAAACACCTTAATCCTACAGTTCTGAACCGTGGCCAGACCCTGCTCCAGTTTATAAAAATGTTCAATTGCAGTGGTTGCACCTTGCCCATGCATTTTGCCTTCTCCTCCAGCTTCTGCTGGGTATTTATCCCTCCCTGTTTTCCCCAGTAACCCCAGAACTGCCATTTTACCAGAAAGGCTGAAGTTTGAAATGCAGAGCACAAACACAGAATTGCCCATGGCCCCAGGAAGCATCAGCAGTGCCTGCAGGAAAGAGTCTCTGCTATGGGGGCAGCAGTGCTGAGGAAATGGGAGATTTGAGCTCTGGAGAAAGGAGAACAAAGTCTTTCTGAAGGACCAGAAGYAGTGAGAAAGCACTCACCATGATGCATAAAGAGCTCAAGCTTTTTTTGACGACTGAGTTCAGTTTTGAACACTAGATTTTACTTTGGAGACAGTCTGCAGGGGCAGGGATAAGGTGGGTGATGTTTCCTGGTTTCCTGACCTTCCTGAGCAGAGTAAAGCAGGTCAGAATGGCTTTACTGCACCTCTGCACTGCTGAAAGAACAACCTCAAAATAGTGATTTCTAACAAGTTCATCTCCTTTAGCCAAGCTCTCCTCAAATGTCTCAGTTCTTTCACTAACACAGCACTCACTTTTCTCAGGGATTTCACTCTTCAGGAAGTGGCACTCCTCAGCCTTTCCACACTGCTCATGAAATCACGGAATCACAGAAGGGTTTGGGTGGGAAGGGACCCCAAATGCCACCCAGTGCCACCCCWGCCATGGCAGGGACACCTCCCACTGTCCCAGGCTGCTCCCAGCCCCAATGTCCAGCCTGGCCTTGGGCACTCAAAGGGATCCAGGGGCAGCCACAGCTTCTCTGGGCACCCTGTGCCAGGACTGCCCACCCTACAGGGAACAATTCCTCCCGTACCCCATCTAAACCCCTAAATTTGCAGAGGCAGCCACACCAGTGCGACCCTCAGGAGCTGTGCTCTGAGCACAAGGTCACCAGCTTGACAAATCTGCCTTCACATCTTTAAGTGCTGATTTTGTTTCTGTTCCCAAACACCTTGCCACAATTCACTCCTTTAAGATATTTTTCAYGGAGTCTTACAACTTTACTTTTTCCCTGCTGAAAAGCTGTGCTTTTCCACAAGATTGATGGACTCGTTTGTCAGAACACCATAAATCATTAAAATCTTCCAAGCAGCACTGCTGCTTGCTGCAGCCAAGTTGTAACAGCAGCTGATGAAACTTTTATTCACAGCAAGCCTGTTGGTGTTTCCAGGTCGTGTCAACACTTCCATAAAAAATCTCTTTCTCAGTTGCTTATGCTAGAGCCAAAAAAAAAAAAACTTCTGACCCAAAATAACACCGGCTGTTCACAACAGCAYGGTGAAATCATGGAAGGGGTGCAGAATGGTATCCACAAGGTCTGAATCCTGTGATTTAATRCAATTTAAGGTGCTTCAGAACAAGCATTTCCCTCTAATGCCACACTGAGGAAACAAGGTCCCATCAGACATTAAGCAGATGTTTGTGTAATTGGGTTTGGATATGGGGGATTATTTGACTCGCAGCTCCAAACACGTGTACACTTGTTTTCCTCAGGAGAGACACTAATTCAAACAAACAAGGAGAAACTGAAGAAGTGACAGCAGAGAAACTTAAAGAACAAAAAGGGAAGAGGAACATTTTTCTTTGCCATTCCTTGTCCTGGTCCCTCTGCACGGGGGCTGTGTGGCCTCACCACCAGCAGACACCCCAAACCCGGTGTTTTCACTCCGTTTGTTTTGTTAAAACACAAATGTAGACATTCGGCATTTTCCTCAGCCTTGAGCCCATCCTGGTGTGGATTTGCTGACCCT